TTACTCTTTTCTCTAGGGTATTTGCATTCTTATAGGGAAGGATATTATAGGCTGAGGAATTTTAAAATAGAATTGCAGGTGCTCGTCATTTTACCAGTAACAGATGATTCAAGATATTTTTGTAAGAAAAGAAGGTTTATCAGAATTTTAAAAATTCTCATGGCCACTTTCTATGCTTCTGAGACAAGAACTGTCCAAATTTAGTTCCATTTCTCCCACATGCACGTCTGCACAGAGGTCTGGGTAGGGGAGGCAGTGACACAGGAGGAAGGAGCTACGTGTAGAATCCGAAACCTGGGCCTGAGCACATGCTGGGCACCAGCAGTTTGTGGTCCTGGCAATGAACATGGCCTTCCTGAGCCCTGGGTCCTCATTTGAAAAATGAGCTCAGCCACCATAATTGAATACCTGCTAAGTTCCAGCGAAGCTTGGGGATCAAGGATAGCAGCAGTTACTGAGGGAGACTGTGCCCCACGACAATGCTTTTCTAGACGTGCCTACGAGAGTAGTGGAAGAAATGTATTAACTCTGCAGGGGGAGCTAGGGATATTGTCACAGAGGAGAACTTCATGCTGGAACCAACATTGGGGACTGTGTGACATGGGGGTTAGGAGCTATGACACTGGTGTCTTAGAGCTAGCTTGAATCCAGGCTCTGCCACTTACTACTGGGAACGTTATCTGAAAAATGGGGATGATAATCATATACATCCCATAGGTGAGAAGTAAGATGATACAAGTCAGAATGGTGCCTGGTGCCTAGGAAATGCCAGTCTTCATCATTTACTATTTATATATTTAATCTATATATCATATATTTATATATATATATACATCATTTACTATATATATGTTATATATATTTATAATATATATACATCATTTACTATATATATATTTTATATATCTATATACACTTTGGGCATGCTGCAGCTTGTGTGATCTTAATTCCCCAGCCAGGGATTGAACCTGGGCCCTGGGCAGTGAAAGAGCAGAGTATATCTATATCACTTTGGGCATGCTGCAGCTTGTGTGATCTTAATTCCCCAGCCAGGGATTGAACCTGGGCCCTGGGCAGTGAAAGAGCAGAGTCCCAACCACTGGACTACCGGGGAATTCCCTATCATTTACTAGTTTTAAAAAAATTATTCATTTATTTATTTATTTTGGCTGCGCTCGGTCTTAGTTGCGGCAGGCGGGATCTTTAGTTGCGGCAGGCGGGCTTCTTAGTTGCGGCTCGTAAGCAGGATCTAGTTCTCCAACCGGGGATCAACCTGGGCCCATGGCATTGGGAGCCCACAGTCTTATCCACCGGGCCACCAGGGAAGTCGCTCATTTACTACTGAGTAAACAATAAAGAGGAGAGAAAAGATATCGGGGCAGAGCATTCTAGATGTAACCTGAGGCAAGGCAGAAATACAAAAAGGGAATGCAGTGCTTGGGGACTAAAGGAGACGACAGGCATCGAGGACCTGGGACCAGCGGGGAGAGGGTGCAGACAAGCCTGCAGAGGCAAGTGGGGGCCAGACCTGAGCAGGCCCTGCAGGGGCTCCAAGGAGGGGGTCTCTCTCGGGAGAGTGAGGGGAAGCCATTCATGGCGGGTGGGAGGGTTCTAGAAGAAAGACGTCTCCCGCGGCTCCAGGGAGGTTGGGCTGAGGAAGAGAGACTGGTGATAGGGTGTGGGAAGATCAGATGGGATAATGAGTGTACAAAAAGCACATGTGAATGTGCAAAGTGCAAGGTGAATATGAGTGGTACGGAGAGACCAAGGCGGGTCTGAGAGCCTCCTTTCCTGAGAGAACCTTGGGCAAGAACTATTGTTTTCCTCCACTGGAGAGGGGAGGGGGAGGGGAGGGGGGAGGGCTGGGGTCAGCCTCCCACCTCCCTCAGCCTGCTCCCGAGCTGGTGGCAGGTGGCTGCAGGCCACGGGACGCAGAGCAGAATCATCAGAAAGGACCCCTCTGGACTCAGCCCTCCTACCCTACTGCCTGCACACAGTCTCTGAGATGCAAAACTCCCCGGAAGCCGACTAACGACTAACGAGGAAGGCCCTAGAGGCAGCCTGAACTTGAACCTGCTTCTCTCAGTTGCTAGCTCTGTGGCCCAGGCAAGTTGCTTAACCTCATCTTAACTGCCTTTGGCTTCAGTTTCCACATCATAAGATGGCGTTAATAATAATACCCACCGCATAGGATGGCAATGAGGATTAAGTGAGTTAGTATGTGGAAGGTACTGGAACGGTACCTGACACACGGTAAGTGCTAAATAAGACTTTGTTCATTAAAATATGTAAAATGATAATAACTGATGGTGTGCAGCGTGGCCAAGAGAAAAAAAAAAGATAACTGTACCTACTTAAAAAAAAATGTATCGTGAACATTCAAGTATTTGGGGCAATGTCTGGCATATCATAAGCCCTCAGTTGAGTTAGGGGCTACTAAACCAGGGGGCAAGGTAAAGGTATGCAGGGGAGGATATTGTCCCCATTTCAGACAATCTACTTGAACATGGGCCTGTCTTTGTTGCATTTCTACTTGAAATTTACTTTGGGTGTATTTATTTGTTAATCTTTTTTTTTTTTTAGCGGTACGCGGGCCTCTCACTGTTGTGGCCTCTCCCGTTGAGGACCACAGGCTCGGGACGCGCAGGCTTAGCGGCCATGGCTCACGGGCCCAGCCGCTCCGCGGCATGTGGGATCTTCGCGGACCGGGGCACGAACCTGCATCCCCTGCATCGGCAGGCGGACTCCCAACCACTGCGCCACCAGGGAAGCCCCATTTTTTGCATTTGTAGATTCTGCCCTATACAATCAGCAAGTTCCAGCTATGAAGAGATATTTAGCCCCCATTCCTTGCGGTAGGACCAGGTCTTTATCCGCCTGAAGCTGTTTGAATCCCCTACTGCTCTGAGGCAGAAGGATGGAATAATGAACTCCTCTCACCCTAAAGGTTCTTTTCCTGAAAGGGATGTGACAGGTTGGATTTCCTTCACTGTCACACATCGCCCCACACCCCTCATCACATTCATCTCAATGGTTTTGCAAGATAAATGTGGGATCCCTTCTCAGTTTCCTGGGTTTGAAGAGAGAAGAGCCATAGGGATGGAGCCTCAGGGAGAAGAGAAGTCGATCATTTCGCCAAAGAACAGCGAGGAAACCAGGCTAATGGAAAGCTCGGGGTATTGGGAGGGGGTATTGGGACACCATGGCCATACAAGGGCTTTGTGCCCCTGCTCTCTTCCACAAAGGACAGCACGACCACCTGCAAGAGGGCTGGTTTCCTCAGGGAAAGCCCAACTGGGGTCCCAGCTCCATCTCTTGAGCTACAGGGTCTGGGGCTACTTCTTTAACCTCTCTAGCTTTTTCTCATCTGGAAAATAACAACAACAGCAATAGTATGTCATGAGCAGTTATAAGGATTCTTTCTTTCTGTTTCCCAGACGTGCCAAGCTTCTTCTCACCTCGGGGCCTTTGCACGTGCTGTTTCCTTGGCAGAGGGCTCTCCCACCAGACTCGTGTGGCGAGTTTATTTTCCTCATTCAGGCCTCAGAGCAAATACCCTCTCCTCAAAGAGGTCTTTTCTGACCACCCTATCAAAAATGGCCATCCCTGGACACTTTTATCACACCGCTTCAGTTTATTGTTTACATAACACTTATCACTGCTTGAAATGATCTTTCCTTGTTTGTTTACTTGGTTATTGTCTGTTTCCCCTGACTAGGATGTAAGTTTCACAAGTACATGTTCACTGCTGTATACACCATGCTTGGCACATTCAATGAATGAATAATGTATTAAAAGCACCTGCACTTTCACTTAAAACTCAATGATATTAGTATCATTATTATTATCATTAATTTCATTCCCAGAAAAGGATGTCAGTTTGAGTATTCCTTTGTTTTATTTCTAAAATTCCAGAATTCTCTAGGCTTTGATCATAGACAATAACTTCAAACTCTGTCCTATTCAAGTCTCATGAAAACCCATCTTTGGTGAAAAACACCTAAAGAGACATACCATTCCTTCATTCTTCTAAACATTCCAGATGCTACACCATCAGAAAAACTAGAAACTTGCCCTTTTCAAACAGCGGCTTAAACTAAGGCTTTCACTGAGGGATGCTATGAGAAACCACATTAAGAGTCATTAGCTGTTTGAACAGTATTAGGTATTGTATTAATATTAGGTAGATGGTACATAACAGTCCCAGGAGCAACTATGAGAAACTCTAGTGTGAGAAATTCCTTTCAAAGTTCAACCCTTAGCAAAATATTCACTTCCTTTGGGGAGCTAGTATGTATTTTTGTCTTCACAAGTTGGGTAACAGGTTGCTTGCCTTTTCACTTTAGCTGCCAGGAAGCTCAGGGCCAAATATTTAACTCATATATAGAAGCTATATAAGCTTTAATGGTCTGCATATTTGCATCTCTCTTTTCCTTCATCTTTACCTCACACTCTATATTCATCTTCACTATGATTAATCTCTGGGAAGATAAAAAAAATTGGCTTAGAAAAGGGCAGGTACCAATGGAAGCTGGATAGTCAAAACCACAGCCTAATCTTATCGCAGAGACAACCTGGGGAGGACACTGCTGCCATGGTCTCAGGACTCAGATGTAGAGTCCTTAGGGGAAGCATCCACTTGGACAAGACCAGTCACATGTGCAGAGCAAAGCGAGTATCTGACCTCCTAGGCGTCTGCATGAGAGACGGCCCTGCCTGCCACCCAGGCCCACGCCATAGGGAATTCCTCAAACAGGAAAAGGGTTCAGATATTAGACACTCCCATAAATAACTGTTCATTAGAGTTTATTTTTTTTTCTCATCTACCTCAAAGCCTTTGTGGAATGAAGGGGGATGGGAGGAAATCAGTAACTACATATAACAGATGTGAATTGCTCCATGCCACAAAGTGAAAGAAACCTTTCATTTCCTTACTTTTCTAAATGAAAACTTGCTCTGGGCTCCATTCTCCAACATGGGTGAGAAGTCCAGTGTGTTACTTGCGGCTCCTTCCTCATTTTCTGGACCATGAGAGCCCCGTAGCTGCAATTTTCGGAACAATTGGACGGGCAGGATCCATCCTCTGGTGAGCTCTCCCTGTGGTTGTCATGAAGATGCCAACTGCCAGATGCTGGGGCCCATTCTGGGGTGGGCAGTTCCCCTGGTAGCACCCATTCCGCCTGGGCCAGGCTCACGCGCTGCATTTGCTGCTGGCTGGGCCACTCTGAGGTGAAGGTGGAAGGCTCACGTACCTTTTGATGGGTAGAATCACTTCCGAGTGGGAGGAGGTCAGGCTGTGCACTGGATTCCCCGCCGTACAGGCACATGGAGCCCAGAACACAGCGCTGAACCTCACTGTGGTTCTTCTCTCCCCAACCCCTCTCCATCCCAGGCCCAATGTTTGCGTGTTTATCCACTTTACACCCAACAGAGAGGTACACGCTACACATTCTCTTCAGCCTCGTCTCAGCGGGGATATGAGGGACATGCTGATTGTGGGTCCTTGGGGGCATTGTTCTCTCCAACGCGGGGGAGGGAGTGACATTCTATATTTTTAATCATAACAGGAGACTGGTTTGACCTTACGGCCAGCAAATCCCCAGGATGATACTGAGCTACCAGGCGAAGTTTCCAGGGCAGCAGTGTTGGACCCGCCCCGTTTCAGACAAGAACAAGACAAGGTGTATCGAAGACTGTTCCTCTCCTGGCGGCATTAAATAGTATTCCCTCCCCCTGCCCAGGGCATTCAGGATCTAAAAGGCTCACGTCGCTGTGTGAACACCAGAGGGCGCCATTAGCCTGGTTTCTGGAGTCGCTGCTGCTCTGATCAGAGTGAGAACGTGTCAGGCGCGACACAGTGAAATAAAACCTAATATTTTAGATCCATTTTAGAGCGAGTAGGTGGCTCATTGCTGTGAATTAAGGTCACCAACAGTAAAATAGGTCAGAATTTCCTTCATTCCTTTCTGCCCGATCTCAAGATAAGTAACTAGGAGGCTGATTTAAATGGTTTCCAAGAAAGGGATAACTCCAGGCATAAGGGCACGAGATGATGATTCTGGGCACAAGAAGCACGTAACATTCTATGGAGGTTGAGGAAGGCTCTAGATAATTTCAGGACGAAACTTTTATGGGATTTGCCACTTCATTCATCTCGAAACCAAGCCACAGATCCTTTTCCTAGCTCTGAAGAACCACTGCTCCTGTCAGGCGACCCCGAGTCCAGTGCTGTTTCCAGAACCTCCGTTTCCAAGTAAATCACTGTAGGGATCTATAGCAGCCATCAGGGCTCTTCCATTGGGAGGTTTTTTGAATCTGCCTGACCCAGAGTAGGCTTATGCAGAAAGCACTTGTTAAGCAAGTGAAAAGTACAAAGATCTCTGGGGCGTGTGATCAAAGCTTTTGGTCCACAAGTTTTTTTGTTGTGTGTAAGTAGATTGCATTTATAAATGGGTCTCACGGGGCCATAAAAGCTGGTCTCAGCAGGGCATTCACTTGGAAACACTGGTAGCAGTTATGGTTTTGAAAAGTAATGAAAACATATTTTAAAAATCCATAATTCAGACTCTCTGTTCATTCATTCACCATCCAATTAATTACTTTTTAAACGCTGGCTGTTTTCCACTGTGTCCCATAGATGCCCCACTGGGAGATGAACTAGGTGTGGCCATTTGCCCTGGACTCTTCATTGTCTTGTGGAGGATAAATATATGTGAAAAGGAATCGCTGTACAGAAGAGTAAGGACTGGAACATAAGCAGTGCTCCTGGACATGGGAAGAGAACAACTCAGTCTGGAGGGTGAAAGACACCTTTGTCCTTCAATCGTGCACTCATTCATTCTACACACGTTCATTACGTGGCGTCCAGGTGGCGGGTACTGTGAGGCAGTGAGCACACCTAACAGCAGGTGAGTGCACAGGGATCCATTACAAGGTCGAAACAGCCTGGAGAAGTTGGGGTCCTTTAAGCTCTCAAAACTAACCAGCCAAGACTCCCGTGCAGGACAAGTCCCTCACTGAGGAGAAACTTCTGGGAGACTACTCCTGCCCACATGGAGCTGACCTGAAAGAGAGGTGTTTCTTTTTCTCTTTTTGACCATATTCGTAGAACCAAATGGGTCGTAGGTCTCTAGAAGAGGCACAGAAACAATTTTTTCTCCTAAGGGGGCCTGACTCATGGAGATATTGAGGAAAGAGGAAATGGATCCAGAAAAGTCAAATGCAAGGTTCAGAAATCCAGCTTGAACAAGCTTAAACTGAAACTGGGATCTGTCAGAATGACCGACACTTGGTACGGCTCGTAGAAGCAAAAGAACATCTGACCATGCTGGCCTTGGGATTAGGTCTGGGGACCTCAGTGGTTGGGAGCAACTTTTGCATTAGTCAAAACTCTTTTGGGGCTTCCCTGGTGGCGCAGTGGTTGAGAGTCCGCCTGCCGATGCAGGGGACACGGGTTCGAGCCCTGGTCTGGGAAGATCCCACATACCGCGGAGCAGCTAGGCCCGTGAGCCACAGCTACTGAGCCTGCGCATCTGGAGCTTGTGCTCTGCAACAAGAGAGGCCGCGACAGTGAGAGGCCCGCGCACCGCGATGAAGAGTGGCCCCCACTTGCTGCAACTGGAGAAAGCCCTCGCACATAAACGAAGACCCAACACAGGCAAAAATAAATAAATTAATTAATTAAAAAAAACAAAAACAAAAAAACTCTTTTGATTGCAAGCAACACAGACCCGACTGAAACTAGCTTCGGCCAAAGAGGGCAGGGGTGAATCACAGATGGGTGGCACTAGAGACTCCTTGCCCTCGAGACTTTCTCTCCTCCTCTCACCTTTGCCTTTCTGGGATGTGGGTTCCATTCTCTCCTCCAGAGTGCTAGTTTTCTCTGAGGGTCTAGGACCAAATTTGCTGGCAGTTCTTTGCTGACATCTTTTCAACTTTGCCTATTTAGTGAAAAGGGGTCATCTTCCCCAACTCCATTTAGAGGAATCTTGGTGTAGGTCCTGATGGGCTCAGCATCCATCTTTCTTCACCCCCAGAAAAATCACAGAGGCGCGGGGCAGGTAGAGTACCATGGCTGGCCCAACCTCGGTCCTACCACCCCTCCCTGTGTCTGGGATGAGTGTGGGGAAAAACAGAGTTCCCAAAAGAATGAAGCCTTATTACCAGAAGAAAGGGTAAAGGGCACTGGGCAATAAAAAACAGAAAACTGCTACTAGAAGAATAGATTGGGGAGGCAATTTACAAAATTTGCAGAGTTTTATTAAGTGTCAGACACATGCATTATATCTCACGCATGTTAACATTTGTATTTGAACGCCAAATTTATTTTATTAAGAATTTCTCCCCCAAAGCTTTCATGTGAGCTATAGTTGGTCCTATAGGAAGAACAACAATAAAGACTTTAATGGGGAAATGTATTTACAAATATGTTTTTTTGTTTTGTTTTTTATAAATTTATTTGTTTAGTTTTGGCTGCGTTGGGTCTTCGTTGCTGCGCGCAGGCTTTCTCTAGTTGCGGCGAGCAGGGGCTACTCTTCGTTGTGATGCGGGGGCTTCTCATCGCCGTGGCTTATCTTGTTGAGGAGCATGGGCTCTAGGTGCACAGGCTCAGTAGTTGTGGCGCATGGGCTCTAGAGCGCAGGCTCTGTAGTTGTGGTACACGGGCTTAGTTGCTCTGCCGCATGTGGGATCTTCCTGGACCAGGGCTCGAACCCATGTCCCCTGCATTGGCAGGCGGATTCTTAACCACTGCATCACCAGGGAAGCCCACAAATATACATTTTTTAAAACATAGTCCGATGAGAAGGAATTTAACTTGTAACTTTTTATTACTACTGGTTTGTTCAGCAAGAGAACTTGCTTATTATTTCTTGAGTCTGTCACTTCGGAGCATATCTTAATTTGCAGGGGAAAGTCAGGTGGACAGTCCTCAGGTATGTAAATGTGAGTGCTCATAGGCCTGGGGTAGAGGGGTAGGTGTAAGTGGATTTTTTGTGGCCAAGCAAAGATGCTTTTCCCAATACTCCTTAATTAGTAGATCTGGTGATTTGCGAGGAGGACGGGAAATGTACGTTAAAGGAATTTCCTAGGAGAAAAAAAATCAAGACTCAGCCTTTCCTTTCTGATTAGAATCTTTCTGATGGACTGAGATGGTCTCAACTAAAGTCTATGGCAGAAAGGATCCCAAAGACCCTTGAAGAGAATGCACAGGAAGGAAAGGGGGAGGGTCAGTGTATATTTGAGTCTGGGAGTCACTCTTAACTCTGCCAGCCTATTAGAAAGGCAGAGTTGAGAACAATGCCAGAGCACAAACATAAAAGCTTCAACCAGAGAACCCAAATGTGGAGCATCCTTGGTTGAGAGTAAAATTCAGAATGGAGAGGGAAAGACTGGCTCCTTTGGACTCAGTCTCTGAGGTTCTCGGACCATTTAGCTGGAGGTGGCAAGGAGGTAAGAGGAGAGAACAAGAGAAACTGGTGTTCTGTTAACTGCAAGTGATTACTTGAATATTAAAAAGAGATGAGACCTTATTTGGACATCAGTCAGTTCACACTAGAAACTAAGAAATGGTAAAATTATAAAAATATAATAAAAAACAGATATATAGTCCACCACAGATTTAGAGTATGGACTTTTAAAACAATTATTTTTCAGGAATAAGATTTCCAATACGGAACCTACGTTACTGCCTTTAGGAATCTTAATGCCATTTTATCCTAACACAACTATTGTGAAGAAACTATTAACTGTTGGGTTCTATCCTTATGGACCACATGTAATTAAACAGAATAAACTCTGAACCAAGTCTCCTAATGCTTCCTCTAAAATATCTAGTGAGGACAAATCAAGAATAGAAGCAGAGAAACTGGAGTATCTATCCTGGAATTCTGCTTAGGTTATGTGTGCCTGTGTACATCGTCCTGTCCAGTTCTTACTTTTTGCCTTGAAGCAAACAGTCCAGCCAAACGTTGAAATGTACACCCAACTAATTTAGCTAAAAGCTCGTAGACTCAGCCGAAGCTGTTGAGTTACGGAGTTTTTCTTTAGCCAAGGGGAAGTTACCCATTGGCTTCGCACTGAACTTCCTGCTGGAGGTTAGGCTGGGCTGACAATGCCCTGGCTGGTCTGTAACAACAACAATAGCAAAAAAAATGATGCATTGAAGAGTCTTGGAAGTCTGAGCACATAGCTCCTTGCACAGAAAATTCCTTCAACATGGTTTGTACAAACTCTAACCATCGCACGTTTTAAAAATCAGTTTCTGAGTCAAGAAAGTTCATTAAGTATCCATAATAGTGAGAAGAGGAACTATCCTATTAGAAACAATTTTTACAAAATTGGTACTCTTTCTGCATTTAAAGATTACATATTTCAGACCAAGGTAAGGATGCCTTACCCAAGAATTTAACCGATTAAAAAAAAATTAAGGTGTAAATTTCAACATGTTTGCAGGCTTTTATACGTAATGTGTGGAGGTACTTTTGCAAAGCATTGTAATGGGTCTTGTGTCTTT